GAAACTCCCAGATGTATCTCAGGAGATTTACTGGACAACTATGGCAGGAAATGAAAACCTTGCTATGTTTAACAAATTTATCACTGGTAGAAGCCGAAGGTACTGGATTCTTTTCTGTCACACACCAATGAAATCTAACCACCATTTGCTTGTAAGACAAGCTCAAGCCTCAATTATGGCTCAAACTTTGAGAAGAGAAATGTTTCTTTTGTGAAAGGAAGCTGATAAATCATATTCATCATTGGAAAGCTTGTCTGTACACCATGTCCTTTGATGGGCTATTCTTAAGAGTCCCAGGATTCCAGAGAGCCACGCAATGGGCTGGCTTGCATTGGATTTCTGCAGAGCTGGCAGCCTTATTCTGGAAGTCTTACATTACAGGTAACCTGATGACTGTGAGGGTGGGCCATAGGCATGCATCTCAGCTTGCCTGAGGAGCCACAGGGAACGAGATTGCAAGACCAATATGCTAGGATCAATGAAACTCTCTGGGAACTGGCTGTTCCCCTTTCAAATGCCACCTCACTAATCTCTCCACTTGCTCAAGTCAGATTCTTCAAAGCCTGAACCTGACACGAGGCTGGCATGATTAGGAAAGGCAAAGGAAGAATGCTCTCTATAAATCATGGGTTTAAAATGGGATCAGGTTCATGGACAGTTTACTAACCAGGTTAAAATTGAGGGTGCTGCTTGAAACTATAGTGGGTTCCTTTAACCATAAAATGAAAACAAAATGTTACCATTGATTACAAGGTGGGCATTAACTGGGCACCAAACTGGGTTCCTGCCTTACAAGGTCTTAAAATCTAGGAAGAGAGGGAGACACAAAAGTAAAAGGTGCCCTGTCTTCCCAAGGTCATGGCTATTTTCCCAAATATTGTAGAAATATACTAAGAAGGGGAATGTCCCAATGTTTGCACACAGATAATGCTGTGTGTCATGGTATGGAAGAAATGATTCTGAAACTGACAAAAGTACATGTAACTGATAGTCAAGACAGACTGACCTATATTCAGAAAGAGGCTTCGGACAATCAAATCCAACAAAGAAAACACATGGCCCCTAGAAGTGGTAAATTGCTGATACTATAAAATAGGTACCACAGAAAACTTATCATAACCTCATCAGCAACACCAAAAGCATTCTAGGTCAGTACATGTAGTCCTTATTAATGGCCTCAGAGTAGCTCATGGTATGAATATGCCAAAATTCCTGAACCAATTCTCCTTTCTGGGAATGTAAGTTACAAATTAACATGCTAATTCCTCCATAAATGAGGTTTACTGTTATCCTCTGTTTAACATGGAGACTAAATCTTCACAAGTGAAGACATATATTAAAAGTTAAAAATAAATCGAAAATGAGAAATCAATAGGTCCCTACATCTGGAAGGGGCACTTTCTCATGTGGCCAGGAGAGCCTGCATCTGCATGGGCAGAAGGAAGGGAGGTGCCTAGTCAGCGGTAGGAGTCTGTATACAGGAGAGTCTGTAATCACCCAAAGTCAGACGCTTGGCTAATGGATATAGCATTGCAGTCCCTGCGGGTTAGAGTGTGCGTGTTCAGAGTCTGAGTACTGAGAACAATAACAAAAAGAGGTTGAAGACATTTTATTTTGCTTTCTTCAAATTATTGCTTGCTGTGCAACTGAACTCTCCATGAAACTGTAATAAACTCATGAAACAAAGGGGTTCAAATTCTGACTCAAGAAATAGATGTGTGCTATGATTAGCCACTGCTGATGGGTACACTTACACAGTGTGCAATCCTCATGATAAGGAAAGTATTAACATCCGTGGGAGGTATGAAAGTGAGGCTTAGAGACTCACTTCTTTGGGCAGGTCCTACATGCTGCTATTAAACTCCAGAGTTGAAATCTGCACCTAAGGTTCTTGCCATTTCCAAATTACTGTTCTGTCAACTGGCCTGTGGCTGATGATTCCTAGTTACAATACCAGACACTAGCCCAGCGATTCCTTAAATTGAATGTTAGGCTTCTATAGCTAGTGGCTATTACATTGTAGAAATGGTAAAGTCTGACAGTAAATCCTAAATTCAGTGCTGATCTATGTGTGTGTGTCAAATACAAAGTAAGGAAAAAAATGTTAACAAAATTCACTTTATTTCATTGGAAGAAGCTTAAAATAAAGATCATATTTTTATGGAATTGGAATCATAATCAAATTCATTGGTGAAAACATAGAGAAAGCAAAGAAAGTATGCCTATATCCTTTAAATATATTAATTACATTTTGGCAGTAATTCTGAGTAAAACCAGAAATGAAAAGAGAAACCTCAACACAAAAAGATGACAAGTGATAAAGTGGTACTAAAATGATTTTTATTAAAGAATTACCACAAGACTATGCAGCAAGTGTGGCCTCTTCCTAATGACAGCTACTTCTGCTTCCAGTTTGTGGGCAGTTTTAAAATACAGCATTTTATTTTGAAAAAGTTGCTTTAAAATGCACAGATGCCTGAGAAATAGGTGTTGTGTAGTATATAATAAAAAATTTGTCCTCCATCAGTTGGGTTTCAGCTCCCAACTGCTCAGAGCCTGTCTGTTCACATATATCCCTGTGATCTATCAATCATGAGGAAATACATTCCAAATAGAGCCATGGACAGACTTGCACAGGGAATAAGAAGGGCCTGGAATCTTTGCTCTTTGGCTGGTTATTAAACCAAATAATCTTTAATTCTCAAAATTTCAATATTTAAAAAACTAAGGCTTACAGTCTAGCTTGCATGGCTCAAATCTGACAAAGGTATGAGAAAATATAGTATTTCTTCCTAAGATTAGGTGTCTAAAATGTGATGATATGTAATTTGGCCTAAAGAGTTAAAAGTTGTCATGTCCAGCAATAATGTTGTCCTTGGCTAAGAACATATATCTTTTTAGGTGATCTCAGCAGCAACTCAGATAAGGTTCAAGTGCCCTAGATTTAAAAGAAATACATTGATTGTGAACAAGAAAGAACTTTAATAAAGCTGCAAATAACACATGTGAAGCACTAGTAGAATAAAATGAACATTTAATTCAATCACCTTGTTATTAAAATCTATAAAGTAGAATGTAGCCAACTGAATAGTAACCTAAGAAAAGCAAAACAGTCTAAACACCTAAATATGATCACTCGTCAATAGCGGGAAGATATCTGATTAGAAATCAAGCCCTTCTAAAATTTCCAATGTTGATTACTCATACTATGTCATCCTAAGAAAAAAGTAATTTTCACATACTCATTTTTATTCTCATCAGTTTATATAGAGGAAGAAGGGAGGAGTTGATATAGCACTTGAATTAAAGATGATCCCAATGATTTTTAAACCACTTTAGAAGATTAATTATGATCCATTTAGTGCTCTAACATGCCCATCATCCTTTCACATGACATTATAGAAACCGTCAGCCTTGAAGATCCAGGATTGTAAATGTTCAATCAGTGACGCCTAGTCTAAGATACCTCAGAGCTCCATTTACCAAGTGGCTATTCTAGAAGATTCTTCAGCAAAATGTTATTCAGTCAGTCAACCAATATTTATTTAAAGCACAGAGACTCTAAGTTTACTCACCATAGTGTCCATCTCCTTGATTAATGAGATTAAAGATGAAATGGTTGAGAAATAACACAAGGGGTCATCAAGGTTAAAGTTAATACTTAAGACTTTATGACTAGAATATATGCCATGATAGAGCCTGTTCTCTAATATAAAAGCAAAGCACAATTTTACACAAGATGGAACATCTTCAAGCAAAATTGTGAGAAAAGAAAACATTGTGGACAGCCAAAGTCAAAACTGGTCCAGTTACACAAAACCCTTTGTAATTTTAGAGATGTCACCTAACCTTCACAGTCTTAAGGTCTCCTCATTTTACTGGTTAACCTTGTTCTGCTTAGTTGACAAAGAAGTGAGGTCAAATGAGGGGACATGTGTGAAATTATGTTGGAATATAATAAGTGTTATGAAATCAGATTATTCTATAAACTCAGTACCACTGGATTAAAGCCTGTAGTGAACCAAAAAATATAACATGAAAACCACACACACACACACACAGAGGGAGAAATGCTTTACAAAAACACGCATCTGCCAAAGAGGGAAATATTTATTAAAACAATTCTAAAGCTACGTTTCAACAAGATTATGTTATTTAGAAACATTTCTATAGTCCATGAAAACATGAAATGGTTTGACAAATGTGCATGCCATTTTGGCCTTGGGTGTTCTTTGATCAACCAGCTAAAACCAGTCTTGTAGGTCTCCTCCCTTATATTTGAGTGCTATCCACGTCATATTGCATTACAAAAAAAACATTGAAATAGAATAAACATTCTTGAACCTTTTTAATTTTTGAATATATTCTTATGCTTTCTTTGAAGACTAATGCATAGAAATATTATTTAACATTTTCAATCTATCTTTTTAGATTGATTAATATTTCTGATATGTCACTTCAGGCTATTTTAGGGAAAATAATGTCTCTAAGTATAATAACTACACGAATCAATATATTAAGACATACTATATAGATCTAACATGTATAAACAAATTTTCCTTAATAAATGAGAATTTAATTTTTTAATTTATTATTACTCCGAGTCTGTGATTTTTACTCATTTAAAAAATTACACCTTAATGCGACATTTACTTCTTTAAAATGAGACTGGTAACAATACTACCTTCTGGCGAATACAAACATATATCCTGTGATGATGACACTTTTTACTGGCTCAATACATTTTCCCAAAAACTTCCACCCAAGTACCACCTAACAGTGTGATGCTGCTCAGAACACCCAAGTGGAAATTGCTAGGGGCAGGCTAGCACGGCCAGAAGGCTTTGGTTTCCAGATTAGCCCTTTCTCTTTTTCTTACTCCAATTCAGAGTTAAGTATTTAAAAACAAAATTTCCTTAAAGACAGAAAAAAACAAGATGGAGACGACCCTTGGAGATGGAGGTCAGGGCTAAGGGCCCTGGTGTGCCCAGTACTCTTACCGTCCAGGTGGCTGACTTGGCGGTGCTGGACTGCTGGAAGGACACATCGAAGCTGTGTGGGCCCGGGTAGTCGGTGTTAGAAGGGATGGCGGGCGACGGCGAGAGGGCGTCGAAGGTGGAGCTGGGCTGCGCGTAGGGCGAGGGCGCAGTGACGCTGTTTTGCGCATGGTCTGTGTTGTAGGGACTGGTAGATGAGGAGCCGTTCTGAATCTGTTGGTCCATGCTGTTCAGGAGCCCCAGATTCGTGTACTGTGGCTGCAGGGCACACAAAAGTTGCAATGTTAACTACTTAAGCGATATAGATCACTGCTTCAAATAAAACATATATTGGCATATATTTTTGTAGCGGTTCACCGTGGATCCCTAGCACTTTACCTGGGAGGTAAAATGATCAATCTGTGATACTGGAAATACATTCTCCGTGTGTGAATTCTGCGATTCAGCTTTATACATCACAGAGCCCTTCTGTATATCCTTTCGTGATTGTGGCTTCCTTAAGGCCATTTGAAAGTAGAATATGTGCTTATTCATACGAAGCTGGCAGAAGTGTCCAGTACTAAGTAGCTGCTTAGGATTACTTTTAAAATAAATGAGTACCATCTGCTATTTCTGTTTTCTTCTACCATGGTATTCAGTATGAGAGACCACTGGATCCATGCAGTATGTTCTAGAGTGTGTTTAAAGATAAACTTGGTGCACGGGGGACAATATCAGATAACCTCCAAAACTCCTTTTAGTTTTCTAACTTCTGTCCCAGAGTACCAATAGTTCCACAAAGAGTTGTTTCAGAAAAATGTGATGGGCCAGGGTAGCAACTTAGGAAGTGCAAACAAAATGCTAGTCTATCATCCAAACACAGACTAATTATTTTATCTACTCTTTCTTTCTTTTTTTTTTTTTTTTTTGGAGTTTTTTTCCTTTTCTAAAGTAGAAAATGTCCAAGAAAAACACCATCTAGGTATGGTGAAAATTCTGTATTTGCTATCATTCAGAAGTACATTATCTCATGTAGTTCCTCTGAGAGATGATTTTATTCTTTTATTCTTCTACTCGAACCAGGCACATAGTAGATACTCAATAAGATATTCATGAAAAGCGTGAATTAATTTCTTGTCACTTAACATGCCAAACAACTTTATTGTATTACTATAAGAGAGGGGAAATGATTTGCTCAGGCACTAGTTAATAAGCAGAGTGGGGTTTGAAATCAAATCTTTGGATTCCTAGTCTAGGCCATCAATACATGTCAACCTGATAAGATAACTCCAGTCACTCCTAAATTTGAATTGAATTGGACACATTTCCAGAAGGAGCCAACAGTTTATGAAACAATTTTCCCTTTGTATAACCTTCTGACACATAGAAATATCACAGTATTTGCAGGTTATTTAAGAAAAAATAAGTCAATATCATGAAAAGGAAGGTAATCCTATTGGCCCTATTTTACAAAGGAGATGAGGCGACTTCAGGAGACATAACTCTGAGAGTCCCAGATCAAGGAAAACGGTGCAGCACAAACACTCAAAGAAATAGATGCTTAAAAAATTTTAATTAAACTATATGTGATCATAAAACCACTCTATTATACTTTAAGTGTCTCACATGGGGTGGAAAAATGGCCTTTGTCATTCCATTCAGTCCAGAGAGCATCTGTCTAAATGTTAACAGTCGCATGTTCATTCCAATACATTTATATTTCACATTCCACTGCTGAATGTTGTGTCCCCATTTGCTCTCCAAATAACTATTAATCTCTTTACACTTATCCTCATGCTGACAAGAGCAGCTGTTTGTCTCGCCTCTCTCCCCTCTAACTGCGACAGCTCTTATTCCTCTCCTATTCTCCATTGTCAGCTTTCCCCTTTGACAGGTGCAGCAAAACTACAGGTGAGACAACTAGGGGGAAAAAAAAACAAAACAAAACAAACATAAAGCCAGGTTTGGTGCAGAGGCATCCATACCCATGGCTGAAATAAAATGCATAAGGATACAAGCCTGTGGCAACAACGTAGGAAGAGGATTGAAAAGATATTATTTGTGTTCAGTTAAGGGTCAGTATGCAAAGCACTTTTGAATGTCCCTGCAGGAATCAGATAATGCCCCCAAAGGCACGTGTTTCCCCACAGCAGTACAATTAGGGAGGCAGCCATCCCTGACAAAAGGGACAAAGAAACTCAGAGAGCACTTTCTTACTGGCAGTAAAATGCCTATTGGACCACCCCTTTCCTCCTCCTTCTAGATACACAGAATGGAACGTTAGTTAATTGTGGGCTTGGATGAGAACAAAGGAACATGACCCTTTGAATTCTTTTTTTCAATATATGTAAAGAAAAACGTTTTGGAACCCCACTTTAAAAGCTAGTGAGCAAACACTTAGCACTTTCTAGAAGAACTTAAAGAGAAATGGAAAGTCCATTTACTTAGGAGGCACAAAGGTCCTGGCACAGCTGTAAGAAATAACATTGGGTGGTATCAAAGAAGCAAAAAGTATGTTTCAAAAATGATTAATCAGCCCATACGTGTTGATGGGTATGCCTTAGAATGTCATCATTTTTTAAAATTTTATCAAACTCCAGGTGAAATATTTTACTTAGCAATAACAGAATTTGCTTCTAATTATGACTGAATTTAAAACATAAAGGCATATTTCCTAGGCTTGGGGTACAAAAATCTGCTTATTATTCAAGCTTGAGATAGGAAAATGCATTTCAAAGCAAAACTGTCCCAAATTTTACTTTACAGAAAAGATCAACCAAACAGTAGACTTGTTTTAAAAATTAATAAAACTGTTATTACAAATGCTAACTGAATCAGACTAAATTATAAATGACAACAAACCCACCAAAGAATTATATGATCAGAAATCTACTTGGATACTTTTTCTAGCTGTATTAAGAATCAATGTCAAAAACCTGCCATAAGAAATAGCACTTGAGAAGTTAATTTTAAAAACATTTAGTCAACACCAAGCAAAAATTCTTACTTGCTTATTTCTTTGGTTTGAAGAGATTGGACATGTTGTCATATTATAATTGAGGGCAAGGGAGACTGGTGTTGCCAAGAAGAACAAGTGTTCCATAGGCAGGGCCTGCAGAATAATTTGCAGAGCCTATCACAAAATGAAAACACCAGGGCCTCTTGTTCATAAATGATTAAGGGTTTCAAAATGGTGACAGCGGAGAATTAAGCAAAGATCAGGGACTAGGGTCTCCACACACTTTGCTCGTCCATGAAGCTAACTTTATATCACATCAATGTGAACATTTACCCCTTATTTTCTACTGAAGTGAAGTTGGAGGGATGAAGAGAATAGTAAATCTATCCCTCCAGCCCCATTTTTAAAAGATTTTATTTATTTTTAAGTAGAAGAACTTGATATAAGCCAAAGGCATAGGGGTTGAGAGGATTCACCAGAAACAGAGCAGGGAGCAGAACAGGCAGATCTAATAAGATATACTGCTGAAGGGAGCAGGAGGAAAGACAAGAGAGGTCTGCTGTGCCATGTGGTTCACCTCCCTGGCCAAGCACTGAACTTGTGTTTCAGTGGCTGCTGTTACCTTTATAGTGCTGATACTTAAACCCCTTGTGCCACCAGGGAAACTCCTCTGTGTCTTTTTTGCACTGTAAATTACTCCACAAAATGAGGAGAAACTTGTTGTAGAATGAATGCTAATGTAAAGCCTATTTTCAGGGTCACATATAAGTGTTTTAGACATGATACTATCATGCCAGACACAAAAATTGCATTTAGGAGGCTAAAGGGTCCCAAATGTATCATTTTTTCATATGTAACAAGAGAAACATTTCACTTATTAGACTGTTTACATGAAATATAGATTGTTCTAAACTACAAAGAAACTTGATTTCAGAAAACCATAATATATTCTATAGGCACTCAATGAATGAATGAAAGAAAAATCTTCTATAGCTACCATATCATACCTGAAAGAAGAGAATCTGCTTTCCACAAAATGTACAAAAGTGAATATAGTTTGTCTGATATTTACCATGGCTGATAAAGTAAAATGATTCCCTCTGCATTCAAATAGATGCTTCATTTCCTATTAAATATTTTGGAAGTAGAAGATTCACCACCTGGACTTAGGAAAATTACCAACTTCTGTAGTTGAAATACATTCAGGTTCATGATAGCAAGCTGATCTGACCTCAGGAAGGATAAGCCGCACGTGGTTACAGAGACTCAACATACCCCAGGGGATCACGGAGCACCATGGACGTGTGCTGAAACATGGAGCTGGATCAGAAATGTAGGGCTTACAAGAGCCAAATCTCAAGTTGCTTGCTTTCACCATTAGGAAATAATAAGTAGACCTACTACTTTCAGATATAGGAAGAGCATTTTTTTTGTGTTTTGCCTGTTTTTCCTCTCCCCAAATCCCTTTGTATTCATGTGATTTATATATCCTGATTTACTTCTTCATTAAATTTTAATTTTAACATTTTTATATTTAAAAATAAGAACAGAAGATTAGGTTTTTTTCCTAACTGATTACTACTCTAAAAGTGTCCTATAAAAAAAAATCGTCGTGGTTTTACTTCATAGTTCTTTTCTGAATTACATTGTTTAATGATCTTAAATTCTAAATATATTATAGACCTGGCTTTGTTCCCTCACACCTCAGAAATAAAACATTAGTATATATGACTAAAAAATTAATGAATATTGGGGCTTACAGGAACTTAAAATTGACAATCCAATTACATTCCTATAAAAGAATTTAACATCAGAAAAGGGATGCCAACCAAGTCATTTGACCAATACAATGAGAACAGGGACTTAGATATAATTTGTATTTCAATAAACCTCTCTTCTCCACTTTATCTGTTTAAAATAAAAATTTTAAGTTATCTTTGTAAATATTATGGTCTATAATAGCTAAGTGATGATGTCATGGCTACCATAGCCAACAACATACATTGAGAAATAAAGAATGGGAAAGAGAGCCAAATCAGGGAAAGTAGAGGTTCCTGTTGGAATATATTATCACTATTTATTCATTTCAAGTCAAGTTTCTCTTGCTTCAGGAAACAATAAGTTGTTCAAATTTCACTTGGAATACATTCTATTTATAATCCTTTAGATTGCAGATGATTATATATAGATGACTATTAGTTGATGCTGGGAAACAGAACATTCTTCAGCATTCCTTATATTCATGAATGTACCCCACTGGTGCAAAGGACTCTGAGCTTAGACTTGGTGATGTGGGTTCTAAGTTGCAACATTACCATGA